AAAATTTCTCTATAATTATTATACTTAAAAAAGTAAATTGAATAATTATAAAAAGATATAACTATAAAAAGATATAATTATAAAGAAATATAATTATAGAAAGATGTAATTATAGAAAGATATGACTATAGAGATTTTTTTTAATTAATAATTGAAAAACTCAAAAAAGATAACTATAATCTTTAATATTTTAAATTATTAGAATATTATTTATTAATTTCTTTTTAAATTTTTTATAAATAAATTATTAATTAAATAAAAATTTAATTAACTTGATAAAATAAAAAAATTATATATAATCTAATTTGATTTTATTAATCAAAATATTTTTTAAATATTTTATAGATAATTCTAATTAGAAATATTATTATTTACTTATTGATTAAAGTTATTAAAAATTAATATAATAATTTTTGTAAAAATTTCAAAAACTTTATTATACATTAAATTAAGTGAAATTATTATATAATTTATAATAAATTATTCCTGAACTCAAGTTCATTATATCAGAATATCTTTGTACTTATAACAAAAAATATAATTATTTAAGTAATTTTACTTAAATTACTAGATTAAATCATGCAATTTGAATTTACTAAAGCTTAAACTATTATATAATATGCCGATTTTTAATATTATAAATTAGATTATAACTTTTAAAAAATTCAGCAATTTTGTTCCAAAAAAATTCTTAATCTTAATCATAACTTTTATAAATTGATATTAGTATTTTTCAGGAATTAATATTACGCAACTTGATTTGTCAAATCAGGTTAGTTAAACCATCAGAGCGTGGGGGGAATTATTTAATCCAAACTTCTAGTTTGTTTTTTGTTAAATTGAGTGTCACATGCTTTGTTTTCTTTATCTCTTATTTTACATTGCGCCAGAAAGATGACCACCAGGATAAAATTACCATGTGATAAATCGTAATTAAAGAAACCAAGAAACATGCAATAAAATTAATACTGTAATAGAAAAAAATTCAACGTGGCGTGAACGGCAATTGGCATGATACTAATACTTCTACATAGAAAGTGTGAACAAAAAACTATAAAAAAACAAACTTATGCATTACTCATTGTCTTTCCGCATCGTTTTGCTTCATTTATCATCGAACTTTCTATACACGTGTCTGAAATTCCGGTTTGGAGACGCGTAAAGTTTATGTACTCGATGTACGCGACCGAAAATATTTGTAACCATTTACTTTTCGTTGTTACAGACAATGAATGAATGCATAACGAGCTGTGTATTAAGAAAATTTTCGCTTTGTATTCTCTTGTATCATATCACTAGGTTTGTGTGTTTCGAGAGAAAAATTTTCTGTAAGATATATTTGCTGGGTTGTAATTGAAGGGACTGATTGCGATTTTTTTTTTGCTGAATATTTAATATTTATCGAAGGCTTGTCTTGGTTTTATGAACATTATATTCAAGATTGCTCATTGATTGTAACCTCAAAAACTTTTATTCCGGAAAAGCTTTCCCCCTTTTTCGGGACCTGACTTTATGCGAATATTGCTAAAAGTTCTCCTTATTAATTATAATTGAAACACTTTTTTTACAGAGTGTTAATTATCTTTTTTTAACGAAAAAAAAATGCGGGTAAAAAGAAAGTTCGTGTACAGAATGTGTATAATGGAAACGAACACTATTGTGCGAATGAAGTATGATTATCGCGATAATCACATACACACACATTTGAAATCTAGAGAAGCTTTTTAAGCATGCTGCAAAAAAATGAACTTGCACCAAAATATCAATGCTGTGATTCTTTGTCAAAAAAAATTTTATTCTCGGCAATTAAATTGACATAGAAATCGATCAATCAAAAAATTCACACGATAAAATTCAAATTTAATGAATCAATACATGTCACATTTTTGGCTGTCTCTGCATTGCTGTGAAAGAGAAAGAAACTCATGCAAGTTGAATCTTATTTTTACAGGGATCCTTTGAATACAAAAAAGGAAGATTCCTTCGGTCTATATACTGCAATGTATCGATTCTTAGATTATAGCAAGTAGAAATGCGGCATACAAGTCAAACATTAACATATCGATAAGAGTTTTAACTAAACTAAATTTGACATTTTAAAAAAATCGCATTTCGGAGTTATTCAAATGAGACTTAAAGACTATTTATTTCATGCACCGGCGACGTCCAACATCCGATGATGATGGCGAAGATAACATGAAAAAAGACTATACTTATTTTATTTGGTTGAAAGACTAACCGAGAATTGATATTTACGAACCTTCATTTGAGTATACAGTTGATTATACTACTATTTAATTAGAAATTCTACGAGAGCATTAAAAATTCATTTGCGATCCGGCGTAGGATCCAAATTCGCGGAAATTCCTCATTTCGTCTATCCCGATTACGTAACATTTGGTATTCGAACAGCTGACACTGGTATTTGTGTATGCAAACGACGAATCAGGCGAATTATAAAGGCATGCATCGCAGTAAGAAAAAGGAAAAATTTAACGGAGTTGTTGGCGTTTCTAGTCTGTGCTTAACAGAAAGATGCTGCTAACGCTAAAGTTGAGCGAAAATAAGAAACAGACACCCAAAATTGGTTAAATTGATGATGAAATAAAAAGATGGATAATGCACACAATCTTCGGAAACAAAATGACATCATAAAGATGGTCATGATTAACTCATGTGCGATGACATGAAATAAAATCCCGACAAAAAGAACTGAAACTACAAAGATTTAGAATGCTAACTTCCCCTGCATCACTTCTGATTCAATATTGAATGGAAATTGCAAGGAGTTGAGGTAAAATCCCTTCGTCATCAACTCAGAATTTTGGAGGCAATAAACGTATCATTTTAGGTCTAGTTGCTGATGATTTGGAATGCATATACTTTCGCATCATTATTTGGTTTCGGAAAAACAAAAGCAGGCAAGAAAAAAAATCGTCATCTCACAGATTCCTCTCATTTTATAATTCTCGCAAAAGCAAAGCAAACAAGTTTGAAAATCGCCGAATATTCTTCCCCATGGTCGATCCATACATGGCATACACCAAACTCTCACATTTCTATGCGGGTGCTTGCACTGCACAATTGAAAGGACAACAATAACAACAATAGCTGATAGGATGCTGATGGAACACATAATAATGATACTGAATCTGTCTTTTTTTTTTAAGAAAAAATTGCATGAACATCCATAGCTTTTTTAGGATCCTGGAATCAATATGTACTTTAATTAAGCGCATAATGAAAAAAAGTATGTTGTAGTTCATTTGATGCACGCACACAAATATGTAACGATACGCTAGTTGTGTGAGATTATTCTTTTAAACTAACATTATTTGTGTCGCCTTGCGCGAACCCGATTCCACTTGCTTGCATATATTGTAAGCTTAAACGCTATTTTTCTATATCTACGTATTCGCTCATATGCATACATAGAATCAATCTAATATATGGGAAACACGTTCGTGCAAGCTCTAAAAAAACGCCAATTCAAAGATTCGCCTCTCGAAAAAATCATCCTCTCTCTAAAAGACCAAACTAAAAAAAGCCTAGGCTTAGCGCACAATAACATTGCCATGTTCAATGATGCTTCGATGCATTAGATGGGCGGCCATTGAAAAATTGTTACATCTCTTGATAACATCGTTATCTTTTCATCAGATTCTTGTTATCGTATCTTTTCATTCATCCCATGTCATTTATTAATAAAGAGAAAGATCCGAGCACGCTGCGGGTAAAAGTAGAATCCGAAACAAAAAAGATATTTGACGTAAAATACCTCTCGTTATGGTAATCGTAGTTTGTTTCGAATCATGTGCAAAAAACTAACAAATTGGTCTCTAAAAATCAATGACACCACGCGGCAAAAGTAAAGTTCCCCCCTTTTACCACACGCGTTAATATAAACAAAGACCAATGAATGAGCGCATGATGTCGAATAGTATTGCAAACTAGGTAAACTCTTAGTCTTACTAAATGAGGTAATAAATCCTGGACAAGTATGCATTGCATCAAATGATATGTATTTTTTCGAACAAGATACTTTTAGATATTTAACTCAACTACGAGATCACATCATTTCTGGTCGCGTGATGCAGTGTACGAATAAGCTTCAATATTCATGTGCGTAATATATGTTTAACAAAGAATGGGGTGCACCTCTTTTTTTAAAGATTATGATTGGTTTCACAAAAACAAGTTTTGAATGAGTAAATAAAGATAAGGAACCAATCAAACCTTGAAATTTTCTCCCTAAATGGTAAGTTGTTACGGAAGATTAAAAATGGCCTCAAACAAATAACCAAACGAGCGTTTTTTTATCATTTAAATTTTTTTCAAACTTTTTGATCGAGAAAAAAGAAAAAGTAATCATCAACCACCTCAATATTAGAACGTTTTTGTTTCGCGTTTCGTATTTTTTATTTGTTTTTACTGTTTTTTCTTCTCTAAAATTTATAAATGTAAATTTATAAATGTGTGTGTATTTATATTTATATAACTAAAAAAAAATTAAAACGAAAAATAGTCGGCGCGCTTAACAAGATCGATCAAAACCTAAAGCCAAAATTTACAACGGGATGCTTATTTAACAAAATTGTGCTGAAGTTAAAAAATATATATATAAAATCCAAATCAAGATATAATCTGGTAAAATCAAAAACCAAAGTAGAGCCAAATAAAGCCCAAAAAAAATGCAAGTGAATATACATGAATGTTTGTGAGAGTAGATAATAATACGAGATGAATTATTATGTTATTGTAATGCGAGGAAAGGGGGGGGGGGGGGGAAGGATAAAGGTAGAACATGCTGTCGCTATCATAAAGTATAATGACAATGCAAAAGTATTACTACCTGAAAGTCTAAATGCTATATTACAGATAATGCGGTTAATTTTTTGTTTGTGTAAAAATATAATGGAGTAAATAAATGAAAAAGTCTTTTGTATTAAAAATAATAAAATTGTTCCTCTACAAACCACCACCGATGACAATTAAGAATTTTACTTTAGAATAACTTCGAATACTTCGTATTCTTCAACGGCAAAGTATACTTTTTCTTGACCATCACCCATTATTGGAAACTCGTAGGAATCTTGTCGACAGAAACATAACTTTTCATTGTGATAATCGAACCCTTGCATTGACAAGTCAGACTCGCCGAAGTCGGGACCTAAATGTGCATATTGCCCGACAGCCTTGGTTGAATCCTTAATGCGGCTCCAAACCGGTTCACTTTGTTTCTCATCATCATAACCGCGCGGCACACCAAAAGAAAAGATGAAACTTTCGTTCGTATTGTGATAAGATGTGGAGAAGAGCTTGACTTCGGATAACCAGGTACCCGGATTATATCCTCCAATAATTTGTCCTGTTCCGCGTACTTTTATCACTACGAATGTTGGACCTTTAGAGTCACATCGTTCATGGAATTGCACTGGCGAGAAACCATCTTGACTTCCGCGTAATAACAATTTGAATTGGAATCCACCTTTCGACTCGAGCGGTGTTTGTTTTGACCATGCAATCCAATTTGCGATCATACCAACTTGGTGTGCATTAATGATTGCCGAGTCTACCTCTGGATACGGTGGGGGCGGCGCAGCACAGGCAGTGTATTGAGGCGGTGGTTGTGGAACTAAATAATGTCGTAGTATGTCATGAAATATGGTACGTGGCAGAGCTTTCTCAAACGGAATAACTTTATTAAGGAAATCATTTGGCGATATTCTCCAAAATCTTATCAGTGGGACGGCATCACGTATGGTACGTTTTAAGTCCGACCAATGCATGGACGACCATGAATCGATATCATTTGGTAAGCCAGGTGTCTGAGCGAGACCCCACTCGATTAGACTTTCCCAAACTTGAACTTGTGGTACTGTTGGATTTTTCTGCTTCAATAGACGTAGGAGATCTCGTTTCGGTATAAGGCCAAAATCACTTGAATTAAAGATGACTTCCGGTCGCTTCTCGAATGTCTCGTTACAGTATGCCTGTAACCGGCTGAAGGATTCATCCTGAAATGCGGCTCGATATGCAAGTACAAAGTGAGTGTTTGTCCATTGGGTATTTTGTTCTATGAGATAGGTTTGGATTCGATCCGATAAATCTTGAAGGCAAAGTTCTCCTGATGCCAATAACAAGTCTAGGATTTCCGCTGGGTTTCTTGAACTTAAAGAAACCGTTCCATGGGTTGTATATCTATTATATTTGGGTAGGTTCGATGATGTTTTAGGTGAGATAGAGGGAGGAGGAAGAAAAATGTGACACAGGAATGCAAACAAAACTTACTTCATAATACTGTCAAAAGTAGTTGGCGGGAAATATTCAAACACGGCCTGCTCAGCCGTAGAGGCCCTCTTATTACAGTGAGAACTCGCTGATGGCATTTTCTTAGATATTTAACTTCCTTCTTGCAGTTATTGGAGGTTTTTGAGAGGAATGTTTAACAACAAAGAAAAGTTTCACACGCGCACTTTGTTTATTTATTCAAGTATTTATAGAGAAAGAAAATTAACAACGATGATTGTGACCGACTGAAAGATGAGTGAAGAGTAGAAAAAAGTGTATTTTTTTTCTGTCTCCTTTGTATTTATAAGTGTTGTTAATTAAGAGAAATGAACAAAAGATAAATAAAGAAATCTACTTGATGATGACCATACTGGGATGCGATGTGCGTATTTATATTAATTATTTATATTATTTATAATTTATAATTTATATAATTTTATATATATATTATATATATATATATTATATACATCGGTATGTAATGTAGTGTTGTGTAATAAGTTGATGTGTAAGAGAAAAAAAAAAAAAAAAAGGCAAAGCATTTTAGATTTTCATCCGCTCATCAGATTCTATCCATCCGGACTTTTGATGAACACGATGTGTGTGTGTCATTGTTAATTATTAAGTTTATTTTATAGTGATATTAAGAGATCGATGATGTGTTTATTTTAATTTAGATATATGGAAAAAGAATTTTTTTGTGTTCTAGCACAATGAAAACTATTATAGTCTTTAATTTTTTGTTACAGTGGTTTATAATAAATATGCAAGAGAAAAATATGTAAGATGTAAATAGTATCTTTAAATAAGCCTATAGAAAAAATGTCAAGTTTTTTACGAGTGATCATAATAATTATAATCAGGTTTTTAGTCTTGTTTCTTCAGTTCAATCATATCTACTCAACTTGCTCAATTCGTACAGTATCTATGATGCGGCGACACCAAAGTCTTCGCCCCGCAATTTGTTTTTATTTACACGCATAACACTGTGAAGACACAAACAATATGAGATATATATAAAAGTTTGTCCATAAGTTTGGCGAGAAAAAAAAATTTTTTTCTTGCCATTTCAAATTCATGCTCCGAAATCGAATCAAAACATAAATTTTTTTTTTCGTAATAATGGATAAGAGATGGAATGGATGGGCATATGAGCACAAGATACAGAATAAAAATCAAAAAGGAATGAATCGAAACAAGACAAGGCGCAACGGAGAATAGTCATCATCATCATCATCATGGCGAATCGATAAAATAGGAGAGGGGAGGAGACGAGAATGAAGATAACATTATTAAGATCACACGTATCATTATTTTGAAACAGTCAACCACCAAAGAGAATGGACAAATATGGGTGAGGTAATACAGAAACGTACAAATCCTCGATCACAACCATGATCATATACACAAACACAAAATTAACGCAAAAAAAAACCTGAAATTATTGTACTTGCCTTTTCTTCAAACAAAAGAAAAAAATCATTCATTATGATCAATTTGTTTTAGGTTTTCGCAGTAATTGGTTTCGTCATGTCATCAATTACGTTATATAGAAGTCAGAATATAATACCAACCACTCTGTATTCATGGGAATAAATAACTTTGAACTCTAATTTTGCATTACAAGAATATTATTAACATTACCTGTTTTATATCAACATATTAAAAGCTAAAAAATTGCCTGATATACCCCCCCTACATCATCATTGTCATTCATTTTTTCTTTTGACAAATTGACCGTACCGTATGATCTTTTAGAAAAAAGAGGTCTCAAATATCTTAAAAGGCAACGAATTAACGCGCATAATAAGATACCAAGTGTGTAACAAATAATCAAATCGTCCAAATTCATTTCATTACACAATGATAAGAACCAATGATGCATTTACTAACAGCATAAGCTCAATAATGTTATCTAATTTTATCGCGCGCTCTGTGTTATGTGTGTTGTTGTGTTGTTGTGTGTGTGTGTGTGTGTATGTAAATTTCCTCTCAAACAAAAAATAAGCGTTCCAGTCTCTCTTGGCGAAATTACGCATTTCGTTTCAAACGAGTTATTATTTTATTGCACGGTGATAGACATATAAAGTTATGCAGGCATAAGTTACATTAGGCATCGAGACGAATAAGAATTTACATTAGGCATCGAGACTAATTACCGAATAAGAAGTTACATTAGACATCAAGACTAATCACCAAATATGAAGTATGTGGATGTACGGGTATACACGAATTATTTTTGAACCTATATTTTGCGGAAAATAGTGAAAAAATTTACCCAATTATTGATTATTGATTATGATTCATCGATGAATATTATTGACACAACACACAGTAACGTCAATGTTTGACTGTATTTCATGTAACGATTGGGAAAAGAGGCCAAGATTTTAGGGACCCATTTTTTACATCATATAGTATTGATTATTAGGTAAACTAGACCCAAAATTCCAGGGGTAAATTACTTTTATCACTAAAATTGGATTGAAGAATGACGATAATCTTTGATAATAATTTTGTAAATCTATCCCCCTTCTTTTTACTCCTTATCTCAATTGACTATTGCGTAATTTGAATCAAAATACATGCGCAAATCATAAAAATCAAAAACCGTTATCCATTTAGACCGGTTTTTTTTATATAAACCCAGTCATGAGAAAAACAAAAATCACCTAAAAAAATGAACTGCTAAGCCACATAACGTCTAAAACACGGATCATTTAATCTTTTTGACCTAAAATAAATTAACGCGCGTTAGGTCTTATAAAAAATTAAAAATTGGGTTGTCAAATCAACCATTAATCGTTCTCAACATGAAATCCTTAACATATTGCCCTCAAACTAAAATCCTCAAGGTAACACATGATCTAAAGCCGAAGGAAGCAATTTTTCAGCATGTAAACTTCTATAACAACACATCTGCAGCATCCAGAAATTTTTCCGAGCGATCATGATCCCGCGCATCATTTATTTGCTTTGACCATCGATGAATACAATGCATAATATAACATCAAATGTTATTGTCAAGCTATTTTTATTTTTTATTCACGCAGGTTTAAGCACAAGGGAAAAGCTTTACTTAATTATTTTTATATTGGTTCCGATCATGGATGTTGATGCCCAATTGAACTTTTTATATGAACCCGATCTGGTTTTCATATGAGCACCCACCACATTGAATTCGCTCAATTCCGGCACATAAGCCACCATGTTTGATTTATGGTAAATCAAGAGTTCAGAAAGGACTACTCTCGTGAATTCACAAGAAGACGAGACAATATATTATGAGTTCATTTTATTGAGATATTCTAATATAAGAAATTTTTTATCTTTTCCTGCATGAGACCCACATAAAAAAACCTAACCAGATTTTGAATATGAATAGACTTGGTTATATGTACTCGTTTTTTCTGGCAGTTCCAGTTTGTGCCAGTATCGTGGTAAAAAAAAAATGCGTACGCAGATTTGTTTTTCTTTGTGCAACAATCTCATAAGTTGCGTAGCAATTGACTAAACTCTATTTAGACTGCGTTATTTCTTGCTTAACTCTGGTAAAATCGATAAAAACGCCTACCGCGAAGTGGTATTAAAAAGTAATGCGATGCATCATGAAAATGTTAGCTGGCTGAGAATAATAAAATGGATAAATATTGTTTGTGTATCCCACAAGACATGTCAACTGTGATCGGGTAACAACAATGATAATAGAATCATCTATTCAATTATGAAAGAGAAAAAAAATTTTTTTTTGACATTCCCATAAAGTTTTTTTTTTCATTCACTAATATCGATGTTTTTGCGAATGATCATAAAATGGCAATGATATTCCAATGCAAAAGAAGAACTATTCTTTTGTTCATTTTCTCAGTGTTATATAAATGAGTTCCCTTTTTGAGCCAAAAAATTTTTTTTCAACCATTAATCCTAGTCCCATGTCAACATTATTTATCTAATCCCGATTGAATTGGATCCAGTAAAGGGATTAGACAATCAAAATTCAAAAACTTTGTGGCAAGATGTGATGTTTAACATGCTGTGGTAAAGTGAAAAAAAAGAAACTATGAAAACAGAGAATATCAAAATGAGAATAAACCTCCATACATACATATTTTTACATTATTAAAAAACCCCTTGATCAATTTCTCTTTTCTTCTTTAGACTTTAGTCCACGAGTCAATTAATTGTATCGATTTAGGGAGAAAAGTCAGACACAGACCGATAAGAAAAAAAAAACAAAATTTTGTGGGGACGTTTATTTGTTTGGATGCATGAATGGTGTGACTTCACAGCCATGAGCGTAATATATACATAAAATCAAGCTTCGAATAGATTAATCCTCGATGTATTTAATTCGGTTTAGATCGCGAACAATATTTACAACTCTCCTTGTAATACTTAAATCTCGAAGAGTATACCTTAGTTCTCTTTATCGTGTCGCCATCCCCGCACTTCCTTCGGACATTAATTTTTACACGATCACGATTGCGTGATCTATGTTTTCAGATTTTCGATTTGTTTGTTCGTTCGTTCATCGTATATAGGCAATTAACATGGTGAGGGGGTACACTGCGAGAACGAAAAAATCGGTTTGAGAAAATTTTTTTTGAAAACAAAAGCTATACTTAGTTTTGATTGTTCTGCACAAAAAATTTTCGTCGAAAATTTTTGAACGAACCGGATATGAACCCGTTTTTTCAGTTTGTGTAGAAAAAACACGATATTTTTTATTATGCATAGAATAATAAAGAAAAAAAAGAAAAAAAAAATTACGAGAAATCACTATAAGTTATGGATGTCCATCAGAGGCTTCGTTGATGAAGGTTACCACGTTTTGTTTGGAAGCAAAAAAAAAATTACATGTTAATTATGATGACTATCGTTCTATGAATAGCCGCGCGCGCTTTTCTTTAATGTCTACATTAAACAATAAGGATAATGTAGATCATAGATAAAGTCCCTGTATCACGCTAACTACCAAACGCATTTTGCAGTTATCATTGTAAGATTACACGAAACTTTGTGCATTGCTGCTCATTTCCTTCCACAAACTGTTGTTTGTTCCTTAGTCTAATCATTGCCATTATTAATATGTCTTCGTCCTCTCTCTTTATCACATTTTTACTTCGCGATTACGCAAAATTACTGGAAAGCGCGGAAGACCACGACACCACCATTAAAGTCGTGAAAGATGATAATTCTAAGGTGTTTCGTGCACACTCGGTGATTTTGCGTTCGAGATCGCTGTATTTTCAAAAGGTTTTGTCCAAAGAGAATATTAATCTGTTGGCGGCGGAGCTTAGAAGTAATGGCAATCCGAAACCTCGTAAACCAAAGGTGACTTCGATTACGATGGAAAATATCTCACCGTTTGCTTTTGAAACTCTTTTAAGGTGAGTTCTGTTGTTGTACGCGAATCTTTTATGACGAAGTTTTCTATTCATCAAAAGGTCTCCTTAATCTAATTTAGGTATATGTATATTGGTACTCTGGAATACGAAAATTATAAAGCTTTGGACGTGCTCGATATTCTGACCACTGCGAATCAATTAGGACTCGCAGAACTAGTAGATATTTTACAAGATTACCTGATTGAACGTAAAACCGGATGGCTTCAGATGAATTTCGCAGCGACATATAACGCAGCTTTTAGACAGCCCTCACTCCCGAAATTACAAAAATTTTGCAATAAAATTATTGATAAATCACCGGCGACCATTTTACGCGCTCTCGATTTCAACAATTTGGCGCCGGATTTTGTGGTTTCACTGTTAGAACGAGAGGATTTAGTCGAGCTTGAAGAGATACATATCTGGAACAAGCTTATCGAGTGGGGAATCGCGCAAACGCCGTATCTTCCTGCAGATATTTCGGAATGGTCTTCCGCTGAATTCATCATTTTACGCACAACGCTTCGACCATTCTTTCCTCTTGTGCGATATCTAGATATTTCGCCCGAAGATTTTGATGAGAGAGTTAAACCGTATCAACCAATTTTTCCAAATCAACTTTATCTTGATATCACTAAGGTGCACTCAGATCCAGAATACAAGCCACTCACCTCGATTTTGCCCTCACGCGCACCTTCTTTCAAAATAAATTCTGTGCTGATAAATCCTAAACACGCGGCCTGGTTAGCAAGCTGTATTAATCGAAAAGATGAAGATAGTCTAATTGAGAATGGGGAGACAGACGAGATCACCACCATTGGAGCAACCACATACGAATTCAAGCTTCTCTTACGAGGAAGTCGTGACGGATTCACGCCAGAAGAATTTCATCGCCTTTGCGACAAGCAAGGACCAACCATCACGGTCATAAAGGTCAACGAAACCGGGCAATTGATTGGCGGCTATAATCCGTTCAGTTGGCTCTCACATAATCCCATCAAATGGAATAAAACGAGCGACAGTTTTATTTTCTCACTTGGTGACGATAATTTAAATGACGCGATCCTTAGTCGCGTCGAGAATCCCGAATACGCCATATGTCAAGATGCGACGGAGGGTCCTTCTTTCGGTGTTGACATCGTGCTACGTGGCGATTTTAAAGAACCGAAACAATGTTACTGTAATAAGAATATCTATGAGTATAGTATTATGAAAGGGGCGGATCATGCGCAAGTGTATTTTGCAATAGAAGAATATGAAATCTTTCAAGTTATAAAGAAGAGAGCATAGAATATTTTCACTTTTTCATTCTTTTTTTTTGCATCATTTCATTATTCATTTAGAATCATCTTGTATTTGACAATCATTATTTTTTTTTCATTAAAGTATATTATTCTTTATATCAAGCGGCAGCTTTTTTTTCTTTCTTTGTGAAATTCGAATGAAAACCATGCTATTTTATAGTCATCAAGATTTTCGGATTGAGATCTATCGCTCAAATTGGTATTGTCGAGAAACCGTGGAAACGAGGTAAGAAAACCTTTAACGATACAACAATTCAACCTACATTCTTTAACTCTCGATTAATTATAATAGCTTTCAATCGTAGCCTACAGCACTAGCGACGATTACAATGCTCGAATACGAAAGCACTCCATAATGACTTTTATGAATACAAATTTTGTATTTGTGACAAGCTTTTGTATTATATAATGAACTTTTACATGAATTAATAATAATAATAATAATTATAATTGGTCGATCACAAAATTTGATTGGTTAAATATTTGTTGAATAGAAATGTAAATAGAAAATAATATTGATCAAGTATATTAGTAAAAACAAAAATATTATAATAATATTATTCCAAGAAAATTGTTAAATGTATATATCAGAAAAAGTATGAATTTAATAATGAGAATGAAAATTTACTTTTTTATATATTTATTCTTATTAATAAATATTTATTTATTTATAAAAAAATGATAATTTGAATTTTTCAGATTTAATTTGAAAATTTTTTCTAATTGTATAATTATTACATAATTAAATTTATATTTTGATTATAAATTATTTTTGGAATGATTATATAATTAGAAAAACTTTATTAATTAAATCTAAAAAATTAGAAAAATATAATTATAATAATTATTAAAAATTATATATTAAAAAATTAAATTTATTAATAATATATAGTAAAAATTGAAACTTTCTCTTTATAATAAAGTTTATAATTTATTAAAAAATAAATTTTTATTTTATATTAAAATAAAATTTATAATTTATAATTTAATATATATTTTTTCTTAGATTTTTTCAAAGAATTATTTTAATTATAAATTTTTCTAATAATAAATTTTATTTTTAATTAGAAAAATTTTATATAGTAACTCTCATAATTATAAAATTAAAAGATCAATTTTATTGATATAATTTATTGCAAAAACTTTAATATATCAGATAAATATTAATAAATTATTTTTTAAAATAAAATTTTTAATTTTGTCTTATTTAATTAAATTATTAGATATCAAAATTTAATTAAATATAAAACTTTTATTATAAAAAAATTTTACTAATAATTAAATTTTGAAATCATTATTTCTTAAATTTTATAATACAAAATTTGTTTTAAATTAATATAAAAATTATATAGTAAAATAATTTAATTATTAATTATTAAACTTTAAATCTTAATATTTTTATAATTACTAATTTAATTATTATAAAATTTAAAATATATATTTATTAAAAATAAGATAATTTACTTGTATAATTTGAAATTATAATATTATAAATTAATAGTAATAATATTTAAAATATCTTATTTTTTAAATAAAATAATTTTATTTTAGTTTTTTTAATAAAGTAATATTTTATTTATTATTAAATTAAAGTATAATAGAATAATTAAAATAATATAAAAAATAAATTTAAATTATTTTTTATTTAATATAAAAAATTATAAAGATTTATTAAAATTTGAATAATTTTTATTAGAAATAATTATATTAATATATTAATTTTTTTGCAATAATTCATAAATATAATAAAATTAAAATTTTTTCTATATTAAATTTTATTATTTTATTAAAAAATAATTTCTATTTTATATCAAATAAAAATTTATAAGTTATAATTTAATATATATTTTTTTAGATTTTTAGAATTTTTTTTGAAAAAGTTATTTTAATTATAAAGTTAATATAAAAATTTTTACTAATTAAAACTAAAATTTAATTAATAAAAAATTTTTATAATAACTTTAATTAGAATTATCTTTTTAAAAAAATCTAAAAAATCTGAAAAAAATATATTAAATTATAGCTTATAAACTTTATTTTAATAAAAAAATAATAATTATTTTTTAATAAATTATAAAGTTTAATATAAAAAAAATTTTAATTCTTATTATATTTTATTAATAAAATTAATCTTCCTATTTCATAATTATAAAAGTTATTATAATTAAAATAATTCTTAAATTATATATTAAAAATAATTAATAAAATTATAAACTTTAATATAAAATTTTGATTTTATTATATTTTATTAATTAAAATTTGAAAATAATTATATTTTTAATATTAAATTTAAATTTAAATATAATTTAAAATTATATTTGAATTTTAGTATTAAAAATATAATTAATTTTAAATTTTATTATTCATTAATTAATATATATAGTAATAATTAAAAGTAATATATTAGAAACTAAATTTATTAATAAAATATAATAGCAATAAAATTTCTTTCTAAACTTTACAACTAGAATAATTTTTTAGAAAAATTCTAAAAATTCTAAAAATTCTAAAAATTCTAAAAAAATATATATAATTAGATCTCTTTATAATTATTTTTTTAAGTTTTTTAATTATTAATTATAATTAAAAAAATTTTTTTATAATTATATCTTTTTTTAATTATCTAATTTTACTTTTTTAAGTATAATAATTATAAAAAGATTTAATTATATTAAATTATATATAATTAATAAATTTTATTTTGATATAAAAATAAAAATTATTTCTTAATAAAATTATAAATTTTAATATAAAGAAAAAATTTTAATTTTTATTATGTTTTATAATAAATTGAATATCTGATATATTACTTTTAAATACATTATATAAATTAATAATATTAATAAAATTTCTTTTTCTTTTTAAACTAAACTTAAAAATTTATTAAAATAAAAATTTTAAATATAAAATTTGATTTTAATTTAAAATAAATTAAATTTCAAAAAAGAATTTAGTTAAATATTAATATATTTATTAATAAATTTTGAATTTATTTTATATATAGTATCATTAAAGTAATATATTAGTGAAATTTATTATAAGTCAATACAAAAAGATTTATATTTTAATATAAAAATCAATAATTATTTCTAATAAAAATTATTCAAATTTTAATTAATCTTTATAATTTTTTATATTAAATAAAAAATAATCTAAATTAACTTTTTATACTATTTTAATTATTCTATTATATTTTAATTCAATAATAAATGAAGTATTACTTTACTAAAAAAAAATTAAAATAAAATTATTTTTTTTAAAAAAAGATATTTTAAATATTATCATTATTAATTTATAATATTAGAACTTCAAATTATACAAGTAGATTACCCTAAATTTGATAAATATATATTCTAAATTTCATAAAAATTGAATCAATAGTTATAAAAATATTAAGATTCAAAATTAAATAATTAAATTATTTACTATAAATGAATTGATGCAAAAAGATTTGTATATTAATATAAAATTAAATAATTATTTTTAATAAAAATTATTCAAATTTTAACTAAT